CTATAGTTATAACCCACATCAGGGGACTTATAACCCCACTTAACTACCCATGAACCTCCAAGTGGGGATGAGTTCAACCACGGTCTTGGCACAGGACTGGTGCGCAATAGGGATTGGTTTTAGGGGTGCAGGTTTTAGAGTGCACGACTTTCTCGTCTCTTTTGCTCTTTTGTGCCCCTGGTCTCTTGATTGCAACACTCTGGTTCGGTTTGTCATTTTGAATTGTTTGTTGTGTGTTTCGTAAACTGCGGAAGCGAAGTCTTTGCCCTGAATCTTGATGGCCCGCCGTTTCGGGGCAGCTCTGCCAACATCAGTGGCCGTGCCACCGCCCTTGCGTGTGAGAAGGGCGACAAGGTGTCCGTAGAGAGCGCACTTTTCATGGCGATGCTAGCCCATGCTGGCGACGAAGATCGCCTGATAGATTCCCAGCTCCCCATGCCGGTGCATCCGGCGTGAGGGCAGGCTTTCTGGAAGGGCAGCTTTTGTCGTCGCCTTTGGAGCTCCTTCACCAGATGACACACAGGAAGGAGGCGGCCCAACGTACGGGCTACGCCCCGGGTCGCAGTCAACATCACTGTTCAAGCATACTCGCGCTAAAGGTGCCCTAAGCCCTAAACTTTAAGCCCCAAAACCTTATAAGCCCTAAACCCTAAACCTTGAAACTCCAATCCTTACACCTTGGACAGCGGTCGGAAACCTTAACCCCAAACACAACATGCCTAGCGAGCATCGCTTTCGGATCGAACAACGCGGTGCAAGGAAAGCTATAGGTAGGAGCAAATGGTGTTGCAACCCACAACCCTGAGCCTGAAACCCGGGACTCCTAAACCCGAACTTGAGGGTTTCTAGTGATAGTAGAATGGGCCCCAGAACCCTATTCTAATTATTTAAAAGTATTACCCCCAACCCTGAACCAGGAGCCCTAAATCCCCGAAACGCGCGTAGCGCAAAATCCGAAGTTGAAGCCCTAAGCCCCATTATTACATTATTAATTAGAGTAGGTCTCATTTAAATCTAAAGGGTGCGATTATTGAAGGCTTCCTAGAAGGGCTTGACGGGGCTCTGATGGATCGTAGAAGGCTTTAGTTGAAGATACATAATTTGATCAAGGAAGCCCCCCCTAAAGGACAGTGATCACAGTTTCTCGTTTAGGACCTTTGTAGCGTTCGGGTTTTAACACCGTAGGATTTAAGGTCTTGGATTTTGGGTTTTGGTATTTGGGTGTAGCATTCCGGGGTTGTAGCCCGAACCCCTTTATAGTCTACAATCCTGAAGCGTGCTCAGGTTCTTTCTACGTGAAGTTGAGGGTTCTTCTAAAGGTTTCTTTTGCCATCTGCAGGTCTTCCAGAGGCAAGCCAAAGGCCTGTCCACCACGGACAAGGCCAGAAATTGCAAATAATGTGGAAGGCCTGAAGCTATAGCGGTAGAACTATAGGGGAACTACATTACTATGTGTACTCGGAGGTTCATGGGTAGGTATACGTGGAGCTATAAGCAGAACACACTCGGATGCTTTGCAACTTTGTGGAAATCCCCACGGCCTAGGGCAGGCTGCAGATCAAAACATAGAGCAAGCTTTGGGCATTTCCGGGACCTGAAATCAGGGTAATTTCGAGGCTTGAAGAGGAACAGTTAGAATCAATGCAATCTGTTTGTCCTGGTATAGCTATACGATGACGATAATGGACTCCAGAGCCCTATTCTAGTCACAACGGTCCTTGCATGAAACCACGTGGCTTTACAACGTACGGACCGCGAACCCTATATTAACATTAAGGGCAAACTGGTTCCTCACAGGGGTTCAAATCTTCTGGCAGGTGCTTTTCCTTTGGGCGCTGGCGAAATGCAAGGCTGCTGTGCAGATGTCTTTCGGGGTGGAAGCACCCGACACAATTTTCTGGACACCTGGTCCACTTATGAAGGGTTTGGATTGAAGTACGTTGAGCATTGCCTGAGTCCAGTGTGCATTACCGAGCATGCCGACCATCATCGCACAGAACATACGGCACTAGTTATATCTGGACTAAACCTCTTGAAAATATCACGAGCCTTACAACGTACTGAGGCCCTTATTTCTGCATGAGCCGCTCCACGATGTTGCATGATTCAGTCGAGTCCCATGATTCCAGGAGCCTGCCAGCAAAAGGCCAGGGTTTGGGGTTTGCAACCAAAATGCCCAAACTTTCAGTGCACCGAAGCATCACCTCAAAACAGCCTAACTTCATTCCCCTTCGTCTGAAGGCCTAAAGACCCCAAATGCCGCTTTTTTCCTAGACCCTGAGCCCCTAGACCACTAAACACCCCAACCTGAAACCTATGAACCTTAAACCCCTGAACCCACTGGGTCAGGTAGTGCACCTGGCCCTTTGTCGGCTAATTGTTCGCGACCTTGCAGTGGCGCAGCTGAACTTTGCAGCTTATGATTAGGGTTAAGGAGTTTCGGGTTTTAGGGTTTTAGGGTTGAGGGTTTAGGGCGGGTTTAAGTTTAGTCGTTTGGGATTAAGGGGTTTACAGGGTGTAGGGTGTCGGGTGGAGAGGCATAAAGAACCACGAAAGAATAGACCCTCTGCTATAGAAGGGTTGATATTCTGATGTTCGAACGCACACCCCTCCATCCCAAGCCAAGCCGAACCCGACTGAGCCTGTTGGGCGCAAAGGCACCCAGGAACCCGGCGGTTCAAGGCAAGCGCAACCATTTTGTCCCTGTAAGCCGCCGTACATCTGTAACCTGGCGCCCCAAAGTCTTGTATGTAAGCCGCAGGCTATGACCTCTTAAGTCTTATGTTGACTCCACGGTGCATGGTCATCGACTATTAGGCAACGCCCATCTGCCTTGTGCCCAGCCGAGAACCGAACCTCCTTCCCGGAAAGGCCACACCTGGCTAGCACACCCCTGAGCCCCTAAACCTTAATGATTCCCTGATCCCTAAATCCCCCTAAACTCTTCAGCCCCCTAACCCTAAACCCTAAACCCTTAAGCCCCCAAACCCCGAAACCCTAAGCCCTAACAAACCCCCAAAACCTAAACCCTAAATCCTTAAGCCCCCCATACCCCCAAACCCTAAACCCATTAAGCCCCCAAGCCCTAAACCCTCAAGGCACCGGTTGAAACTTGGAGTTCCGAGCTTTGGGATTCGAGTTGAGGGTCGGGGTTCAGATGTGGAGTTCATGGCCTAGGGTCTACCTGGGCCCCAAAGAACCTACCTTTTTAGTAGGGTTCCTTATTATGATTTCTGCATATAAGTCCTGAAGAAGGTAGTATATTTTGAGGGCTCCTTCTTTTTGATTTCTTTATATAAGTCCTGAAAGAGGTAGGTTATTTGGGGTTAGGGCCTAGGTGTTACAATCCGACGCGAATCCGAAAACCCACCGTTTTCTTTAGGTTGGTATGACAGCTTGAAGCAATCTGTACGGTTAGTGTTCGAAAGCAACCCTAAACTTTAAACCCCCAACCCTAGACCAAAACCCCTATCTATCATGGAAGTCTTGAAGAGGATCTTAGCACACCGATAGTAACCCGACGAGAAGCTTTTCCCAGAGAACCCACTACCCCTTAAACAAGGAATATACCTTAAATTATAGGGGCCTTTATATTCTTATGATTTACGCTATATTCCTTAATCAAGGGGTATTGGGTTCTCTGGGTTCAAGCCTTGGGCTCTAAACCCTAAACCCTAAACCCTAAAACCCTAAACCCTAAACCCTAAACCCTAAACCCTCTACTCCACAGAGCAGTCCTGAGGTAGAGAATTGCGGCAACCTGCAGAGAGACAAGGTGGCCGATACTGCGATTCCTAGCTTTCGTCTAGGGTTTTGGGGTTTAGGGTTTAGGGGTTTAGGGTTTAGGGTTTAGGACGTCTATGGGATATAACTGGGTTTAGGGTTTAGGATGGTTTATGGTTTATGGCGGCTTAAGAGTTTCAGATTGACTTTTACAAGGCCTAAGATCTGTGTTTGGACTAGAACTGTCTCATGGCCATCTCTGCTTAGCTTCTGAATGCGATGAGTCTTTGCATTGTGGTGGCTTCTTCGAGAATGGCGCGAAACATATTGCGAGGCCAATCATGCCCGTTTTCAAACTTTGAGGATCTTGGTCGGGTCTGGGGTGGCACGGTTTCACACTTCCTGTGTTTCGATGAGTGCATGTAGGACCCTTTGGAATGAGAAGACCCGTGAGTGTCTCTATTGGGGCTTCCCTGGAAGAGAAGATGCACGCGAGCGTGATTGTTGCTTGTAGCAAGATGTCCCAAGCCGTGAGCCCTGCATGCACCCGACGCCCAAGTAGGGCGGAGCACAGACACGACTAAACAATTTGTCCGATTCACTCTGTCTCGATTGTCAGGTGGGCCTCGCGCTGTGGTCCCTTGCAGCAGCGCCCTCGAACCGAATCGGAAGGTAGGTAGTGAACTTGAAACGGTTCACGTCAACATGAGGGCGCAAGTGCATCTTGTCGCTGGTGCGAGCAAGCCAACACATCAGCAGGGCAGCGGCACCAGTAGGACCTGAGCAAGACATGACGGATGATGTCTGTACTTTGCTCTTGCTTGCGCATGAGCTCAGCACGGTTATAAGATGTTGTAATTACCAAGGTCTAAGTTGGTTCTAGTAGTAACCCCTCATGGTCCAAATTTCACTATAGTACAGCTATGCGCCAAAACCCACCTCATAATTGCTAAGGCTCGTTTGTGAGCGTTCACGAAGTCGGAGTGAGGGTGGTGTAAATCGGGCAGACGGTTTTGGATATAGGGGGCTTGGAGTCTTGAAGCGTTGTGTTTGGCATATGCCATGTGGTAGTTCTCGAAATTAGTACTCTCCCAAAAATAGTACGGCAAGATTATCAGAAGGACCCTAAAAGGGAGCCCAATTTAGAAAACTACCCATGCCATGTGGGCTTCGGAGTATCGACTTCGAGAACAGATCTCGCGCAAGGCAGAAATGCAGGGCTGATGCAGCCTAAACCCTAAACCCTGAACCCAAAACCCTAAACCCTGAACCCTAAACCCTAAACCCTAAACCGTGGCTTACCGTCTTGAGGATCCAGACTGCACCTGAACGAACTTCCTCTTCTCATGTACGGTAGACCGTAACCCCCTAACAGCTTCTAAGCCTTGACATGTGAGCGCCCTAAGCTCCCTTCCTCAAGGAGCTTGGGGGGATAGGGGCTCCAGATGAGCCGGGATTTAGGAGGAGACTTCAATGCCTGAAAACTCTGAACGCCCCACCGAAGAGGCAGGAAGAGAACACTCAGAACCCTCAAGCCCCTGACCCTAAAAACGACGCCTCATGACGGGCTTCAATCCATCCGAGGCTTCAAAAATCCTTCTAAACCACCTTAAGTCCCAAAACCCACCTCTGAACTCTAAACCCTAAACTCCACTCTGAACCCTAAACCCTAAACCCTGTAAGCCCTATAATGGTTACCTTAAAACTCCAAAACTCCTAAACCCTAAACCCTATGCGCCCTA